GAGGGCGCGGGGAGGAGCCGCTCGCCCGACTTTTCGTGTTATTTGTGAACACACACGTGATAATGACTTGAACGACCTGATATTTGATATTCTTGCCGGACATTCGCAAAGTATCGTACTGTGGGACCCAACTGGAAAGTATTAATAGTAGTAATAAAATCGATAATTCAATGAATTCGTGAGAAGTTGAATCGCCGATTGCGATGGAGACGTTCCTCCGTGGAAGTGACACCCGAAGTGCGTGTTTTATATTCAAGTTTGAATTCTCTTCAATAAATATGATATTATATATGGCTATTGAAGACTCTGCGAATAATTTATGAGCTTGGTTGTATTATTTCGTATATAGTTATAGTTATATTATGCAAGTTTGCTCTTTCTGAACGGAATTAGCTTATGGTGATATGAATATGTTTAGCTCGCCAATGATATTGTACCGTAGGAAAATAGATTTTAAATATCGGATTCGGTTCTGTGGGTTATTTTATCAATGAAATTTGAATGTTCTCGAATGTGCGTCGATGGCTACTGTTGAAGTAACCTACAGCTCGGCTCCAAACTCACTATTGTAAGAATTAGCTTTTCTCAGAATCTGGCCTCTATATATTATTGCGTCGAATTGGCTACGTTTTGGAGAAGATATTTTGTACCTGTTGATTGCGTCAATAGATAAAAATTGTCCAATTTTCATTATTTTAAATTTCAACTTGATTCTATCGTTATCCTTTCTGTAGTTCTTTTAGTACCTTTTTAATTCTTTGATGTTTATTTTTAATTTTCTACATTCTTTAATCTCTAGACGATTTTACTTTTAATTTTTGTTTATTGACGCAATTGTTGTTTTAAAAAATGTATGTACTCGAAATATAAATGCTGTTCATTTGTTCAGGCACGTGTCTCCCAGCAGTCGTCTGCTACTTTTATTGTAATGTATTTGTATTGTTTTGTGTCCATTATTACATTTATAACTTAATTATTATAGTTTATCATGGTTGTTGGCATTGTTTTATTTTTATGTACAAATAACAAATTAAATGATGATGTAATTTAGTTTTAAGTAATGCATTATGCTCGTTGATATGTCCTGCTCGTGTTGAAGCAGTTTGCGGACACTCGACGCTTATATACTTCATGTTTTTTTGTCTACAATCTCATTTATGTACTTAGATGTACGGATAACATTTAAAGATGCAATAAAACCAAAGAGTATCATTCATCTTAACTCTTTGTCATGTTCCTTATATATTTTTTTTAATTTGCATGCGCAGGAGAAGGAAAACAAGTCAAATGTTCTTTTTATTTATTTTTAAGCTAAATGTTTCACATAATATCATTCCAAATTAAGAATTGTAAGCGAAAGTAATGATTACGTGATTAGGAGACTATCTAATAATACAAAAAATAAAAATATATGTGAAAAATAAAGAATTGTTTTATTTCGTTCTAGTAATTTTAATTATTTATACATTACATAGCAATAACATACATTTATTAACCAACTTCCCAAAAGAAGGTGGTACTCAATTCGTCTGTATGTTTTTTTTTAACATCACAAAAGAAAGAGCAATAAAGCATGCAGTGACAAAAAGTTGCCGTCTCGGTTTCTTCATCAAGAATGAAAGGGATAACAAAAGAAACTGTACAAATGTATTGACGGTGGATATACTGGCTCAAAATAACAATAACATCATAGAATTCAGTCTTGAGTACACTTAAAACACGCAACACACCTTTAGTATTAAATTTAACTATACATTCTAATTGGTCTCCATAACTGTTCTGGTAAAACTAAAGGTGTGTTTGTACAATAGTCAAAATAACATGTCATCAATTCTCATAGAATTATTTTCAAACAAATATAAAAGGAAATAATTGATGTAATTACAAATATCAATGTTTCTTATCATAACCAGTAAGATAGGAACTTGTGTCATTCGCTACGTCCTTTTCTGAGAGATTCGCTAAATTTTGTATAGACTTCTCATAAAGGTCGATACCCTTTAAAAATATAGTAATATTGATGTTTTCATTGATTCCGTGCACGAGAAACTCAGTTTTCTGTAACGGAGAGAAACCTAATATGGGAAAACCAAACTTTCTCATAACACCAGCGTTGGATTGGTCGAAGATGACGCTCGGGTTGAAGGTAATATTTCTGGAACAATTATATACGGATCGTGTTAAAGTACATTTCGAATCTACTCGTATCAATTTTATTCTGAATGTAATGAAAAAGAAATTTAATTTTCCTTTCACTATTCAGGTAAATATATTTGAATTTTTATAATAAAAGAAATTGCATATGTTAAAGTATAGATTGTTTAAACACAGATAATATTTACTTACGCGCTTTTGGCACCATCAGAAATAGCTTTCCAGTAAGGGTTCGTATCGTCAGTTTTGACGGCAGGAGATTTCTCAGCAGACCGTACAATGGTTAACTTTATACCGCTATCCAGCTTTTCTATCCTTTCTTTCAGCTGAAAATATATCAAACGGTACATGTATAATCTGAGTTTGTTTTAAGAAACCTAAAGAGGAACTTCGCAATTGAAGAACATAAAATTACATACGAATACTTTTGTAATATATTATTTATAACCTTTTCACCTAATTGTACTCAATTATACTAATCATAAGATTAAAAAAAGTGTATTAATAAAAAGTGTACAAGATGTGACAGTAGAAGGAAAAGAACGTAAAAAATGTAAGGGATAATAAATTGTATATTTTCTGTAAATATAAATAAAGCTGATAATAACGATGGTACTAGTTTACATTTATTCATCTAAATTATCTAAATTATTTATATAAATGCAAAAGTTTAGATAGATGGATAGATGTTTGTTAGAGTTTGCAGTCTAAACGGCTGAACGGATTTCAATGAAATTTTGTATATGGTAGATGTAAAGGAGAGTCTAGAAGAACACAAAGGCACACTTTTGTTTTTTTATTACCACGCAGACAGAGTCGCGGGCGAAAGCTAGTTATAAATAAAATTATCGATGTTTTTCAAATTTGGCCGATCAAATAATTTTGGGTAAGAAAGTTAAAATTTCACAGTGACCTTTTATCCATTTCGGATGACTCTTACACCCTCTACGTTAAAGATAATGAATGAATTGCATTTCTAGAACTAACTACTTTTCCTCATATGTATGAAAAGTGATTGTTTCGCTGTTGTATAAATACCTCATTAAACACTTTCGATACCGTCGTGCTGATTGACGGATTGATGTAGTAACGAAGAGTTATGCGACCGGGCAGCACACTATCAGTCACGGCGCCCTGAAAAGTGCGCCATTTAAAGTTATTTTAAACTTAAATATCGGATACAAAGAGTAATTAAGTACGAATAATTCCATAATAGATTAAAAGTTTATAACAATTATAATTGAAATAAAGTGCATGGAGTGAAAAAGAATTAACTTCGTAATCTTAAAAGATTTTTAACTAAAGAGGAAAGAAAACTTTTATCATACATATTACTTACTTAAAAGTATACAACAGACATCTCTGTGATGCAGTTTCAAGGTTTTATATAAAAAAAAATGGTTTTAATCTTAGATTAGAGCTTGGATGTTTAAAAATAAGTTTGGATCTAATACAAACACACCTTTAATATATTCAAGTTAATGCTGGTAAAGTTTCCAGTGTTGCTGACTGGGAACTTCTTCATGTAATCTAGTTGCTCGTCGCGGTACTCTTGTAACGACTCTATCACTTTCGCGCACTGTATACACACAAATCAATAATTTAAAAACATTTCCTTTCTATGTACATCTAACATTTATTGAGTAAAATGCCAGCTAGTGGTAGATCTGAAAAACTAAGGAAGTCATCATTTAAAACATCATTAGTGCAAGTAACTTTATTTTTTTATGGTTAATAAGCAAGCGCTTGACCACTATCCCGCCTGATAAGTGGTAATGAGGTTGAAAGATGTTACGCGCTAGCTTCAAAGTATCTATTTAATCTACTCTTGAAGTCCCGACTTTTGTTTCTACAATACAATAGGTACGTACCTTTCCTATAGCCGTAATATGAGAATCTGGCATGAGTGAGCCGTGCGTCTCGATTCCGTAGCAATCAACTTCAAGTACTGTCGAATAAATATATTATTAATGGTGACTTCATTTATAGCAATTAAAATAATTTCTATTTATAATAGCTTAATAAAATTGTCATTAAAAAAAAAACAAAAGTGAGTAGCCCATGCATTCTTCCAGATTATCCTCTCCAACCATTCCGAATTTCATTTTAATCCTTTCATCCGTTTAGGCTACAAACTCAAACAAATTTAATTGAGTTAGCTAGCTAGTTAGCTAGAATTTTCATGATATTCTTGTAAAAATTACCTATTAAACCTTTATCTTGGTAAAATAGTAGTACTTTATCTGAATTATAAGAGACTCCTTCGTCTATACCGCCGCCGATGTACATGTTTTTAAAATCCTTGCTTTCTATAAATGGTTGTAGTTTTTCCTCCGTGACACCATTTTCATGATCTGCAAAATATGTCATACAATACAACTAAACAACTAAAGCTAACTAAAATAGTTGTAAAGTTTAGTTGTAAAGTTTGGGATACACTAGGCAAGGTTTTATTCATTAAGTTTATTAAGTTTTATTTGAAGAATTATTACATCTATTTTACATTTTTCTATTCTTGGCAGCTGCTTATCAATATTACTACATACTCACCACTTAACAAAATGAGATATATATCTCTCTGAAGCTTAATTTTTTGTTTATTTAATCGTTTTATTGCTAGGTAATATTGTAAACCGGATGATTTGCAGTCTTGTGATCCACGGCCGTATAACAAACCATCTTTTGTTATTTTTCCTGAAAATGGCGGATGTTTCCATTCCGTCTAAAAAAATTACAATTAAAAAAAGCTTTCTGTAACATAAAGCAGTAAAATAAAAGACACTTATTATATGATTAATTAATTTTAGGATGATCGGAGTAACACTCTAGTTACGTAGTTCGGAAACGCATTTCATGATGTTATCGAACCATTAACACTAACGAATAGTTAAATATAGCTGGGAAACCATTAGTCGTAAAAGGATGTTAGTTTTCTAAAATGTTTAAAGTCCGCTTGTCTTCTTTCTTAGTATATAAAAAATTACCTCGTTGGCAACAGGAACGACATCTATATGTGACAAGAGAACGATACTGCTCAGTGAAGGATTACTGCCCTTCCATTTAAGTACAATTATAGGATAGCCTTCTATATAATCGTATGTATTGAACGTAGCCTTTGATTTAACAGCTAGACCTTTCCAAAATTTAATTGCTTCAGCTGTAAAAAACATTTGTTAAAATACATAAAATAATCCAACAAGCTGTCATACGTTTAAAACAATTAAAAAAAAACTGCTTAAGTGACCAGCAACAACTCTGATAGGTTGCTTATTATTAATTTCGACATAATAATGATTAAAAAAAAATATCCAAATTAAAAAAAAAACGTATACTTACATTGGTCATTACCGACTGTAGTATTTATTTTAACATATCGTTGAAGCAATCGCACCGCGGGCTGAACGCAGCATTTGTTTGCATTCGTTTGTTGCATTATTAATAAACTCACAAATAACAATAAGCTGTTCATAGTGCTTTATTCTATGGAATAAAAGAAGGTTTGATTTATTTCAAAATTAAAACAAATACAATAGTAATCAATAGGGAGAAAATTTTAACTCTGTACTCAAAGCTATAATGGGAAATATGGGCAAAAAAAAAACATTTTATTTTTTATGCCAATATCCTTTTGCGGCGCTATCAGAATAGGTTACAAGTAATATCCAAATCTGTCCCGTAGTTAAGGAACCTCGACAAACATATTTTTATATCATTTAAAAATATTTCATACGAAAAAGATATGTCAGAGAAGAGGGACTTTGATGTTAATTTCTTTCGTTTTGAATATATACATGAATGAATATAAACGAGGTAGTTGTATACCCGTTCTGAATAAAGGTCATTAAATATAAAAAAATTAAGATACGTGCGTGTAATATATTAAAAAAAAAAGTACGTTAGCTTACCTTTGACAATGAAATACGTTTAAGTACGTTATGCTTAACGAAAGTGCAATGTTCTCATTACTAACAAAAAATATTTCACTTATCTGTAATTTATGTTAACAAAAGACAATAAACATTGATATAATCCGTAGGTTTTTTAAACTGAATTAATTTAACTAATTGAAATTAATTTTAGAGTTAATTAAAGTATTTGGAACTGAAAACATTTTTAAATTTTATTTAATTAATATTACAATGGGTCGCTTAAACCAGACTGTTTACATGACAATTTTGTTCTTATATCGTTTGTTTTTATTTTTCTTTGTGATTATTATGGTTTCCACTATTATTCACTTAAGATTGATATTCATTATGAAAAGACATCTATTAAAACAAATGTATAAACTGATTCATATCTTTAAGTATACACACCTTCAGTTTAAACTGAACAGTCAGAAAACTAAACTGAGAACTGTTCATATAACAGTTACTGTTTTGCCTACACACTAACCATCAAAGTAATCAGCCCGATTGTTTATTTAAAACTGAAGGTGTATATCAGGCTTTAGAATCTACAGTCTTGTGGAGGTCTCTGGTTTATTAAACAATTATAGTCTTAATTTTTTGTCTAAGATAGCTCCATACGTTTCCTTAAGTTTAGCAGACTCTCTTCATACACGAAGGTGCAATCACCTACTATAATATTATGTATAGATTAAGCAAGTATTTATTTTTTGCATATGTATCATTTATTAACAATATCAAGAATTTTGTAATTGCTTATAAGTAACATTGTTTTAAATAATTTCATAATTCACATGTAATCGAATAAATTGTTGACGCTTTTTATTTCTAATTTAATGCACAAACTATTCAACCGTTAATACCGAAATTGATAAATTTACTGGTTTTGACATACTAACAAATATTGTTTTGTAGTATTTTAAGAGACGCTAAATTTTGATTTAATGCTAGACCTCGAGATACTAAATATTTATATGGCACAATGTTGATTTCTTTACATTCGTAATAACTTTCTATTTAAGGCGAGTATTGACTGACGTCATGTAATGAAACATGTTACACAGCGAGCTTCGTGCAATCGCTACGTAGTGTTACGCGGAAACTAGCGAGCAACAATCCGCTTGATGCAACAGTTGCACCTCGTAACATCGATCAATACCCAGCTTTAGAGGCTTCAAAGTTGCAACAACAATCATTTTTTTAAAACAATCGCTGCTCTTTTGTATCTTCGAAAAAGTTTTGCCGTGGGGTTCCACTGCCGATACAGTTGCACGAAACATTTTATGTCAGCTTTTGAAAGGAGTATTGAAGGGAAAAAATCATGTAATGTGCAAGTTTTTCAACAGTAAAAATTTACGAATAAGTAAAACTAAACGCAACCTAGTGGAATATCAGAATTGAAGGATTTTATAATATGGACGGCATAAGGTTCGCCATAAGTGTTCATAGTATCTAATATTCTGAATCCAAATACCTCAGGATTCTCCGTTTTCTTCTATTTATATTTTATTTACATTGTTACCATGCTATATCATACACCGATGTATCTTTTACTGTAGAAAATATTATATAATAACCATTAGGATATTTGATTGTCGTTTACATTTAGAACAGTGAAATAGTACCCATTTTCACCAACCACCCCTTAAGTTTAGGGGTCCTTGACGTCGATGATGTCGTCTAGCATCATACAACCACTTTCAATTTAGGTGACCCTTAATCATAGAGATACTAAGAATACTTTACTATCTAAGAATACTTTAAAGGCTGGTTAATGAAAACGTGCATCAGAGTCACAAATGAGTCTTACAAATTTTAATTACTTATATCATTTTTGTTTTAATAAATTTCATGGTAAAATAAATGTTATCATTTCAATACACGTTTATTGACATTGGATGAACTTGAATTTTTTTTAATTGTATTTCTTCTTATCGTAGTCGATAAGGTATTTACTTGGATCGTTCGTCACTTCTTTATCAGGGATATTTGCCAGGTTTTGTATACATTTAATGTATAATGGTATACCGCTTAAGAATATCCTTACGTCGACAAATTCGTCATATCCGTGATCGAGGAACTGAGTTTTAGGCAGAGGCGAGAAGCCTAATATCGGGATGCCGTATTTCCTCAAAGCGCCAGCGTTTGTTTGATCGAACGTGATTGTTGGAGAAAAATCGAAATTCCTGAAACACATAAATATGATTTTACAGAACTAAACAAAAAATCGCTTCATAAAAATGATTCGAGGCTCTATTTGGCCACCATAGGCGGTGAAATTTGTTTTTTTTTTGTAGTTGTGTAGTTATATGGTGCAGATGGCCAGATATTATCAAAAAACAAAGAAAACTTACAGACTTTTTGCCGCATCGTAAATCGCTTTGTAAAAAGGATTGGACGCATCGAGTCTAACAGCGGGTGATTTTTCAGCTGAACGAACGATGGTCAAATTTATTTGTGCGTTAATTTTATCAACTCTTGCTTTCACCTAAAACAAAAAATGACATGATATTTTCTAGTAATAACAAGATTAGTTAGGTTATTTAACAAATTAATTACCTCATTAAATACTTCTATCACGGTCTTGTTAATCGATGGGTTTATGTAGTAACGAAGAGTTATGCGTCCGGGTAAAACGCTGTCAGTTATTGCTCCCTAAATAAAAAAGCATGTATTTAACTATGTAGAAGTATAAAGAAAGGCCGATGACTGAAAACTCGTAATGTATACTTATGCTTAGTTTAGATATCTACGAGTACTAAGGCAATTGCCACTCACATGTGCGAATTCTTGTAAGTTAATCAAGTGACCGAATGACACATACTTTTATTGTATCGTCTATGTGGACTAGAGTATCGTTCTCTCTTCTTACATTCTTAAACCTTACTGTAATTATTATATTGCATAAGTTTACATGGATGGATGGATGTTTCCAAGGTAATCTCTAAACGGGCTCAAATAATCTCGATGAAATTTTGTCACAGATGTAGTTAGAAAACATTTAAGCTACATTCTACGTATTCATTAATTCCGCAAGTCGCGGGAAAAATCTAGTTAGGATAGAAGTGTGCTGTAAAATTGTAGTGGACTGTGGTTATCTTGGAAAGCGAGAACACGGGTTGACCTGTAGTCTATTTAGATTGATACTGGTATAGTTGCTGGTGTCGGTGACGGCCAAGGTCTTCATATATTCTACTTGAGCGTCTCTGTATGCCTGAAGCGATGTTATAACCTTCGCGCACTGTAACAGAAGAAATGTTTAATAGAAAAAAATGGGTATGAAATAAAAGTCCTCGACTGTATATTTTCGTAAATTAAAAATAGTAATACCACTCCGATAGCCGTTTTATTTGAATCAGGCATCAATGATCCGTGCGTCTCTATTCCGTAACAATCAATTTGTAATACTGAAAATAAAAAAAAGTTAACACTTTATTGATAATAGTTTGAAAAATATGTACTTTATCGCAAGAAACTAATGACTCAAGACAATAATACTCAGATGTAAATCTAATTAAAATAAACCTCTATAACGAAATTACCTAGTATTGCTTTATCTTGATACAATAACAGAAGTTTATTAGAAGAATATGTAAAGCCTTCGTCGATTCCACCGCCGACACTCATACTTGTAAATTCTTTACTTGTGAGAAAACTTCTGATGACAGTCGATGATAAGCCAATTTCATGACCTGAAATTTTAAAATTTATTGACATGTGTGTTGTTACTGCTAAGTACAGTCGGGGAATCTGTCAGTATGCAACCACATTAGCTACAGATGTTTAAATGTTTTGTACGCACTAAAAAAAACCACACTTTAGCTAAGCTTTTAAATGCTTCTGAGTTAAAAATGGTTTATTGTGAGAAGTGGCCGAGTATGTCACGTTGCAGAGAAGGCAATTTTTCTGTAAGTGTAACATCGCGGATTTCCTTGACCGTACATACATTTAAAAATGTAGTTATAAATTATTTTATTCTTTACGTCACTTTTAACATTGTTGTAACCTACGTATGACAAATTATTTAATCAGCTACTAAAGTAATATTGATATAAAACAGTAAAATAAAATATATTATGTGACAAGCCTTGTGATATCATCATACTAATGTTATAAATGCGAAAGTTTAGATGGATGGATTGATGGATGGATGGATATATGGATGGATGTTTGTTAGAGTTTGTAGCCTAAACGGCTGAACAGATCTCGAAGAAATTTAGCGTAGACGTAGAGCATAATTAGGAAGAACATATAGGCTACTCACTTTTTTTTTTTTTTAATTCCACGCGGACGAACTCGTGGGCGAAAGCTAGTTTGAAATAAATAAAATGACATTTGAAACACTTACTGGTAAATAGTATGATGACGACATCTCTTTGTAGTTTGACATTTCTTTTGGTCAAGTTGAGTAATGCCTCATAGTACTGAATACTGACCGTCTTACAGTCTTGCACCCCGCGTCCGTACATCAGACCATCCTTTGTGATATTGCCCCCGAACGGGGGATATTTCCATTTACCCTACAATTGCAATAAATGGAATTTAACTATTGTAAAATGTTTCTATAAGATAGAGATTCTTCTATTCTTTCAGCACCTGCGGTACCAGATGTTTTAGACCTGGTTTCGCATTCAACGTGTTAACAAGAAGAAGAATGTGTATAGAAACAGCAAAAAACTATTGCATAGATTCGTAAGTAGAGATTATAGATTTCCATATTGCACTGGGTTACTCATTTTTCCTCTACGATACCCATACATTTTATCATACATGCTTGTTGAATATACTTATTAGCCTATTCTTTGTTAAGTGGACAAAGATTGAACCATTTAAATGCGACGCACAGTATAATAGTTTGAGTGTGAAATTATAATTACCTCATCGGCAACAGGAGCCACATCAATATGTGAGATGAGGGCTATTGAACTCAGTTTGGAATTTACACCTCTCTTTCTTATAACAACTACGGGATAGCCTTTAAGATATTCGTAAGTGTTAAAGGATGCCTTTAGTCGTTGTGCTAATGTCCGCCAAAACTGTATTCCTGCAGCTGTGGAATTAAATTGAAAATTTTTATTACATTTAATATACAATAATAATAGGTTAGGATCAAAGCAAGCGGAGATGTCAAGTGAGCAAATTATCTTCTTACTATCTTCTTTACTAAACGCATTAATGTGTATGTATGGGTGATTGAATGGACCTCTAAAAAGTTGTCTCTAGAAGTAGAATTGAGTTTCTTTTGTGGCTCAAAGACGGTGTGGCAGGACACAGCTATTTATCATATAGTTGAAAAATATTACTGTCAGCTATTTTTTTTATTAAAGGTTTAGTACCAAATAGTGCTACAGACTAGTGTCTAGACTAATAGAAGTATGTATACACTCACATTGGTCATTGCCAGTGGTAGTGTTTATTTGAAGATATTTTTGTAGTAACCGCACCGCCGCTAAATCCTCTGCAGTACCATTCCCTTCTATGCCTTGGAAAAGTATAAAGATCACGCAGAACAATAGGCATTTTAACATTCTTTTCTGAAAGAAACATACATGTATTTAGAATTATTAAAAAAACGATATTACTAACCTTTAACGTTTCAATTACTTACATAATGATCGATACACGTGTTCCTTTGCACAAAAGACACTTAAAATTGGATATAATTGAGACTTAATTAACTTATAAGTAAAAGTTATCAATTTCAATGTAAATTAAAAGTGATAGCGCTTAATATATAATACCAATGTGCGTACAAACATTACTTGAATATTTTTTTGCTTTGTAGGTAGGTAAAAAATATAACAGATTAACATAATAGGCGATATAAAAATTTCAAGTTTTGAAAATATAATGTTTTAGCAATTTATCTATATCTATACTATTATAATAAAGCGTAAACACACACTACTTTTTTGCCTAAGATGTCAGCAGTTACAGCATATTTTTGAATAATTCTTATTTTAATAAAAAGCCCTACACTTACGTCACGCTTTAGGCTATATATTTTCACGCCATTAAACTACGGGGGTAAATATATTGGATAAAATCCTAATGTGGGAAAGAGACCATAAGTTGCTGCCAACATCAAGGAAGCAAGGTTGCCATGGTTTGTCATGTTATGTCATTTTGACATTTGCTATTGATAATTTAACACATGTAAACAATAAAATTAGCCTCAGATCACTATTGTTTTGCCCCTTGATGGTTTAAATGAAATGTGATGTCTAAGAATTAACAACGTCAGTATACACTTGGCTGTTTTTTTAGCATCCAAGTGGCCGCTACTGACATGTGTATTCCCACCCATATAATAAAGTAACGAAGTTTATAATATAAAGGGTACATCTACCTTAAGACCTTGGAGTTGCAGTTGTCCATGGGCATCGGATTAATAGGCAATTTGCTGGGCCTTTGCCTCCTTTTACTATAGAAATAATGTTTCTTGTTTTCTATGTGGTGTTGGAACAGAGCGTGCAAGTATTAGTCAGTATTAATAAAATATTAACATGAAATTAAGTGAATTTTTAAAATATCTTTTAAATTGTATTGTGATGTTAACATTATTCTTGAGACAGAAATGTTTTTTCGTTTAATAACAACTCATGTACAATTTTTAAAAGCTAATTTGGAGTAGAAAATAAAGCCGCTTTATTAACATCCAAATACTAACGAAAATAATTAATATTTATGATGTTTATACCGAATTATTATAAATTATAAAAAGTAAACAGTACGAACGATTCTGAGAAGCTCAGTTAAATCTATAGAAAAATAAAATATACTTACATTTTTAGTAAATGTTCAATAAAAACTTTATGAATAATTTGAGAAACTAATTTGAATTCACATACAGTAGCAGGTGAGACAGAAAGTTACACTCGGAAAGTGTGAATTTAGTTTCTCTGTTTTACTACTTTCTACTTTATAATTAAAAAAGGGATATTTTAGTGTTTAAATTAAAAAGAAGGGAGGTATTTTTGCCCTAGCATACAAAATTAGGGTTTCTATTAATACAAAATTAAACCCAAACAACTTATAAATAAAACCACTCACAGTTGTTGGACACTAATAGATTGATCCTATTCATGATAGAGGAACAATATTTGTCGTATGGTATAATAGAAAATGTTGAGATTTTAATGCTGAGTGGTTTGACCATTTATGGTATTACAAAAATTGCTTAGAATTATCCATGCAATATATTTTTGCAACAAATTTATGTTATGTACATTATTCAGACTTACAACATTGCTAACTATTAAAGCGTTTCTTCATTGTAACCGAAAGATAAAAAAAATATCTTCAAGTCACATAAAAATACATCTTCTTACTAATATTATACATGCAAAATTTTGGATTGATGGATGGATGTTTGATAGAGTTTGTAGCCTAAACCGTTAACAGATCTCGATGAAATTTGTCACACATGTAGAACACAGTCTGAAAGAACACATAGGCTACTTTGAAAAAAAACTTTAGTATAGTGTGTTTTTAAATTAACAGTAAGGATAAAATAATAGTTTTTAGTCTTCGCTCTTATTTGATACTAGCGGTTCCCGTGTGACTTCACTCGCATGAAATTATAAAAACTTTATTTTATTGTTTACATTTGTCAAATTATCTATTACAAATGTCAAAATGACATGACATGATGACAACCTTGATGTTGGCAGCAACTTATGGCCTCTTTCCAACATTAGGGTTTTTATCCAAAATAATTACCTCCTAAGTTTAATGGCGTTAAAATGTATAGCCTAAAGCGTGAAGTAAGTGTAGGGTTTTCATTAAAAAAAGAATTATTAAAAAATATGCTGTAATTGCTGACATCTTTGGCAACAAAGAAGCGTAAGTATAGTTTCGAACTATGAAAGTTGAAACGCCCGCATACAACTAAAATCAATGTCTAACAAGGTCATTGTTAATGAAGATTAAAAATGCATATATTTTAGTACGACCACATTATTTAGGACTGTAATCTGTTCGGGTCAAGGATATAGAATTACATGTAATGCGTAAGAACGCACTGATAGCAGTCCCATATATAAACATAAGGAGCCCGGAATAATGGTGATTTGTGAAAATAACGCAAAATGAACGCGTGCGTCTTGATTCTCTCTGTCTTGTTTGTTTTCGGTGAGTTGATTTGTTACGTATTAGTTATATTTATACACATTTGTGAATGTTATTGTGGTTGTATGTTTTTGTCTATTAAAATCTGTGTTAGTGTGTCGTTAGAATTAAGAACGTAACGTTTAATTTAAATAACTAGCTGTTGATTTCGACTTCGTTCCCGCGAAATTAAAACAATAATAAAAAATATAGCCTATGCCACTGATAACCTTAATGGAGAAAGAATTTTTGAAATCGACCCAATAGTTTTTGAGTTATTTCAATACATACAAAAATACAAATCTTTCCTCTTTATAATATTAGTATAGATATAGATGATTTCTTTACTAAATGTCAAATATTTGTTTTTAATATCAATATATGCTGCGCCTAGTGTAGGGATCCTGGATTATATTGTTTACTGTAACTGAAAAGATTTTTTTTAAATGGCCTGTTTTACTTTATTTTTATTTATCTTGGAACTATAATGATACCTCTTATTATAATTATGTTAGCACAAATATAGTGTTCTTAGTTCTGTAGTAGAGTTTATGAAATAGTCTTAAGTACATTATCTACCCAACTGTTATGTTCTGGTGTGCCAAATAAATAAGCAATAAAATATATGAGCCAGTCACGTATGACTTGAAGATAACAATCTTTATTTAGTAAGTACAAATAATTTAATTGTTTCTCTTTAGTTTCTGTTTGAAAAAATCACGCAGGTAGAAATTGGTTCATCAATTAATCAATTCGATTGGGGTGTAGCTATGTGATAAAAAAGAGGAGAAAATATGGTACATACTAGTATATGCAAGCATAAAAATATACATATTTTGGTCCCTGTTGCATATTTTTTGAAGTGGCTTTTATGTTATACTAGCTTTCACCCGTGACTCCGTCCTCGTGAAATTAAAAAATAATATAAAACATTGCCTATGTTACTCACTCACAACCTAGCTTTTTAATAATGACAGAATTTTTGAAATTGGCCCAGTGGTTTTTGATTTATTTCATTACAATCATACGAATAAAGTTTTCCTCTCTATAGCTTTAGTATGATACCACATTTTTTTCTAAGTAACCATGATATATTCAATTTATGTACAAGTAACATGTATTGTGGTAGTATGTGGATATAACTGTAGCAGACCGTACATGGTAAATCGAGCCCGTTAAGTAAACATTACTTTTGGTTCGGAAACTTTCTCTGATGTAGGTAACTTTTTGCAGTTTCGGTATGGCGACCCGCTTAGCTTGTTTCATTAACATAACATGGAACGGAAATAGCCGAAACTCATTAATATTCAACAACTAGGTTGAGACCGCAGCTTTGCTCGTGTGATTTGTGTCATTTTTTTTGGACTTTACATTTTTCGATTATGTTTTTTTTTACTGTTTTAAATTACTTGTATAACAACATTTTAGATACAGTTATGGAAGAGTCAATATGTAAATAGTATTGGACTAGTTATGTGGTATTTCCCTAAATGTAGATAAAACGGATGTCTTAGACAAGAAGTTCAGAAAATTATATTGACTGATCTAAAAAATCCTGGTAAATCCTGGTATTAATTTAATAAAAAAAAAACGATTTATTAAAAAGCCAAGCAAATACGTAGAAATATCTCTACAAAATTCTATACAATAACTAACAACATAAAAACAATTTGATTATTCGTTTAATAGTTACTAGATTTTTCTTCAAATTAGTTATAATAAAAACTGGTATATCTAAAAATCTCTCTATTGAATATAAAAGAAAGGACGATTTGCATAAATTGACAGCTTGAATACAAAACAGCTTACAGTTTCTTTTATTCAGAACAGGGCTGTACTTAACCTTGATTCGGACCTGTTTATCCGATATTGACCATAGGGAAAGGTACCGTTATATTTTTATCACATGCTTATGCCATCACCTGCAGTGCGATGTTTTGGCATAAATTATGCCGTAACGCACCTAAAAAAAATAAAAAAAATCATCCAGACGAATTGAGTACCTCTATCTTTTGGGAAGTCGGTCCAATAGGCGGTAATAAGAAATTGTATGGACGTAAAAAAAATTAAATGAATCTACTCTAACATCTGTCAAACATTATCACATAGTATTTAGAGATATTGTTGTGGTGATAACTCAATATAATGTTAAAAATACACATTTGTTTATATTTTTGTACATTTTTCCTGATTTTCCAGATGAAATTAAAGCATGTTAACTTGCATTTTTTCAATTTCGAACAATCAGTTGAAACTCTTTGAGCAAAGAAAAGCATCCGAATATGTCGCATCCGTGTATCCGAGTCAAGTGAATTTTGCGACGAAAACCCCGTTTCTCTTTCATAAGAAGAAATCTTTTGTATAGTGAAGTGAATGAAACGCAAATAGGTCGTACGTAATTCAAAAATTAAAAACAACTTCCTTTTCAAATAAAAAAACAAGCTTGTGGGACTGAATAGCGCCCCAGTTCCTCGGCTAACGGTACTGGAGTGATCTCGATAACTGCCACAGTGCTGTGAATTTTATAATTGGAATCTTATAATTGCATACTTGCTTACTGAAAAATGTCATTTATACCTTGTCTTTTATCAAATGTTAGTACATTTGATATTACGTTCATAATTTTAAGAACAGGCAAACACCTTTGACTAAACCATCGCACAAGTGTTGTGCGAGTGTCAATGGTTTGCAGCCAATTCTACTGTTTATTTGCACAACTAAAATCGAGTACTGAGTCCACGACCATATAAGATAATAGCAATCAAAGCGAGACTAAATAATTGTGCGACAGAGTAGTTTTAGGTGTGCGCGCTCTCAAGTTTTATAACTAGTGGAATGAATTATTGTTTCTGCTCCTATGTTTGTCGTTAATACATTTTTATTTTATAATCTGTATTGTTTATTTTTACAGCAAGCTGTGACGAAGATGGAGATTTTGAAATAAAAACTAATCATGAAGCAAAACTACGTTTTTACTATGGGTATGATTTTTATTTTACTACTATTTCTAATACACAATTTTTTCAAATAAAACTTTGTATATGTAACACCAAGAAACAACAACTTTATTTTAATTAATCTAAATTCTTTTCTGATTTCAGATCTATGGACAATTATACTGAGCTATACATATACGATGCCCATAAAATCTTTTTAGAAACCTGGTATAACTCCAGCAGAAATACCGTCATATTTTCACATGGATTCACAGGTAATTAAAGGCAAGGAAGAACGGGCGCACACCTTCACTAAACTATAGCACAATTGTTATGAGATTGTCAATTGTTTTGCAGCCAATTCAACTATTTAGTTGCACAATTAAAAATCGAGTAGTGTGTGCACTTCCATATAAGCTCTAAGGAATCAAAGCGAGACTAAACAGTTACGCGATAGTTTAGTCAAAGGAGTGCGCCCGCTCTCATAGTAATTTCTTCTTGACCACTTTACTCTAAAAGGGATTGTCTACGATTGTAAATATAGTAGTGAGTCAATTTTTCATTCAAACTTATTTGAACTAATGCCAAGGCGCGGTCGAGCAATTTCGTAGTGCTTAATATCCTTAAGGTCAAGTGTAATTTACATCCAGGCGTGTTGATATATGGTCTATATTCTTTTATACATTTAAATACATATATGGCACATTTCTTTTTTGTAAAACAAATCACTGGTACCTAAATGATAAATTTAAATGTCCGTTACAATGTTTTTGGCAACAATATTAAATTCTTTTTTCAAAATAAAAATAACATTGTTAAGCCACTTAGCCACAGTTAATTGCAGAGTTCCTAATTGGTTAGTTGGACACTTATTGTAGACTTTTCAGAATAAATCAGCAGAGGAGACCACTTAATGACTAATTGCAGCTGTAAATAAATTTATGTTCTATTCACTTCAATTATTGTTTAATTCTTTAGAAATTTGAGACATTAGGTACTATGCTATTAAATTCCAACTTGTTCTAACACATTAATAATACTCTCATTGGAGCTGAATTTTAAAATAGTAGAAGTTCAACTATAGGTTGCTGATTAGTTTAGAAACTTGAGTGTGCAAACTTTATCGGTACAGAAATAAAACTATTGAATATTTCAGGTCGTCCCACCGGCCCCGCCGTGACTGCTGTAATGACTGCTTACATTGTAGAAGGAAAAAGCAATATAGCGTTATTGGATTGGCAGGATTTGGCCTCAATGGCACTACCAGGCTTCGCTACTTCATATATGAAATGGGCAGCACCTAATGCTCGAAAGGTGAAAGACGTTTGTAAATTGATATGGTTTGGTGAACACTATTAGTTTGTCTAGACAAGAAATAAGTTGAAAAGGTTGAGCATGACTTTTCACGTTTCTAATAGCTATTTATGAATAGTTAATTTGTAGACGCACTCAAAAAGTATTTTATGTGAAAGAAGAACCTTTAGTACGAGTAGACGATAAAGTGGTACAACATACACTAAAATATTAAACATCTGGTATAATGAAACAAACACATGTAACGTTTCATAAACAGGACGACAACCAAGCAACGACTAACTCATCTGATGCTAAGTTTTCCGCAGTCACAAAAGTTTGAATGGCACCTTTGTGTGGAAAAAGGAATCAATAAAGAACTAGAGATTGAAAACTTTTACATCTTTGGGATCTGCTAGGGTTTTCTACTTCAGAAACTACGTCATCAAACGATATGGATTATTCCCCTTTAGCTTAGAAAGTAGATGTAATATACTTTTCAATTAAATTTTACTTTTATAATAAAACTTTTAAAACTGTTTTCCTCCTCAGCTTGGAGTTCGTTTTGCCAATACTCTAAGTACTATGGCTGCTGCTGGACTGGATTTGAAAAAGATTCATCTAATCGGACATTCTTTGGGAGCCCATCTTTTTGGTATTACTGGTACAACGCTCGCTAATAGAGGAATGCAACCTTCGTGGTAATTTTAACTTCTTCTATATATACGTAAACATGACAAATTGTTTTAGTAACGATATCTGGGAATATCCCAATATGTAAACAATAATAGCCTCAATTAGATAAACTGCGTTATTACTGAACCAGTAAAACGATTTTTAATGAACGTCAAATTATAACAACATTTGGCTCTCCACCCTGATGTTTTATTTTGTTCACTTTTGTAAAGAATTTTCTTTTATGTTCAGTTTTGAATAAAATATGCATATACAATATAGATTATAGAGAAATTAGACTTTATAACAGAAAGTACCAAAACATCTTTTAAGATTCCCTCGCCAATAAACTATTATCATGTTTCTTTTTACAGTATAACCGGTCTTGATCCATCGAAGGTTGGTTTTGAAAACAAACCAGTTCATTTGAGATTGAACCCGGATTCAGCGGAGTCGGTAGTTGTCATACATACGGACAGTAGCAAATATGGAGCTAAAGGTTCGATGGGTAAAGTGGACTTTTGGCCGAATTTCAGAAACAACGGCCATGTAATCCAACCCGGCTGCGATGAAAGGCCAGCACAGACATTTTCAATGCCAGGTACAGATCTATACTATTATAATAAAGCGTAAACATACACTTCTTTGTTGCCTAAGATGTCAGCAATTACAGCATATTTTTGAATAATTATTTTTTTAATAAATAGCCCTACACTTACGTCAGGCTTTAGGCTACATATTTTAACGCCATTAAACTTAGAGGGTAAATATTTTGATAAAAACCCTAATGTGGGAAAGAGACCATAAGTTGCTGCCAACATAAAGGAAGCAAGATTGCCATAGATTGTCATCATGTCATGTTATTTTGACATTTCAATTGATAAATTGACAAATGTAAACGATAAAATGAAGTTTTTATAAATACCTGCGGATGAAGCCGCACGGGAACAGCTAGTTATAAGAATAAAATTATATGATAGTTTTCATATTATTCACGAATAGACTAAAACTAACATGATGTATTTTTTATTTCTTGCGATTTTACTGTATTAGCTTGTTTTTCCAGCAATTTTTCCTTCAGTCTAGACACATATTGTCCTGACTAGAGAATTATTTTACGGTCTCCCTTATATTGCCCCACGAATTTCCATACAATATTCGAACGCTAACAAATATTTTATTAATCCGAACATCAATCCCGTCTTTACGTTGCTATGCCGACCGCTGAGCTAAGCGACCAGTAAGACAATGTAAAACTGACCTAGAAACCTAACTAACCTATAAAATGTAACTTTTAATAATAGTTTGTAAACTGCAATATTATATTCATTTCCTCGCTTCATACTTTGTATGTATTAATATTGGATTTATGTTCTACCGCCTTAGTATTGCCAGCTAACTTTTATTATGTTGCAAGTTTTTAACTAGGTTCTGAGCTCAGTAAAACGTAATGTCCGAGAAAATGTTTCCTAGACTAACTCTTACTTTACATATAAATCTTTCTTACAACGTATTTATGTTATTTTTTATTTTCTTTATAATTATGAGCTTTTATTAAATAGCTAATCAGGTGCGGCTTCATCTGCATGTAAATGTAAAAACTTTATTTCATTATTTAAATTTGTAAAATTCTCAATTGCAAATGTCAAAATTACCGTTATCATAATAACCTTGCTTCCTTCATGTTGGCAGCTTGTAGTTTCCATAAACTATAAATGGAACCATTCCCATTCCCACATTAGGGATTTTATCCTTAAGGCTAATAGCGTGACAATGTATTGCCTAAAGCGTGATGTAAGTGCAGGGCTTTTTGTTAAAAAAAGTATGATTCAAAAATATGCTGTAATTGCTGATATCTTACGCCACAAAGTAGTGTGTGTCTACGGTTTATTATGTTAGTATAGATTAAATATGTAGAAATTGAACATTTGTCATTAAAATATCTAGAATTTAAATGTGGCGTTAATTGTTTTAAAACAGATTGTAGTTTCTGCTTTTTCTATTTCTATAAATTTCTTCAACAGCAGATACTAGTTATAACTAGTTCATAGTCTGTATACGTATGAACAACATTCCTTTTGTTGATGATAGGACGCGTTACTATTAAGAAAATAACGTTTCAGATTTATGCAATCACAATCGATGCTGGGAACTTCTGATCGACTCTCTAAAGCATCCAGGAACCCTACTAGGATCTTATGCCAAGAATTATAGAATGTGGAAGAATTACTCGGAAGAGGAGAAAAAAGCTATAACAATGGCTATTGGAAAATGTGACCCGAACGCGTAAGATTTGAAAATTCCTAATATTAGAGTGTTCATGAAAAATAACGCAAAAAAAAGTAATTTATAAGAATTTAAACCAATGCAAAATTCAGGAAATGACCTTGGTGTCTTGTCATTGATCAATATCTCTTTGCAATTGTTATATTTTTCTTTTTTTTTTCAATAATATTCATCGGATTCTCGCATGTAAAAGATATAAACTTAAGTACAAGCTTATGGCACGTGAGAACGTTGAATTTGCTTAGACCTTTGTTACTTGAATAACATAGAAATTCAATGAAATAATTGCTAATGAATTGAAGTAAGGGGGTTTCACGTTTTTAGGTTTCCTATTTATGTTTTCTAGTTCAGGAGAAAGTGAGAAATGTTTTCAAAGTATATAATTCATACTAATGCTACTAAAAGCTTTATTTAAAATGTTTATTTTCCATATAAAACTAAATAAATTGTAAAAAAATATATTTTTAAGAAGCAAAAAGCTGTCAAACAATGGCATTTTCTATTTATTCAATAACATTAGAGCTTTTACTAAGAGCCGTAAATTATAGTAAGATCTACGTTGAACTTTCGTTGAGTTTGAATAGCTATTATTAATTAACTTGAGAACTTATTACTTGAACTCTATTACGTTTTCAGGGTGCCTGGCAACTATTACTTGACTACTAATGCTGAAACTCCTTTTGGACGAGGCGACGATGGCTTATAACAAGTGAAATATAATTATTTTTTTTAAATTTAAGTATTTTTATACCATAGATATCTTTTACTAATACAAATTTTTATGAACTATTTATGAGTCAAGTAGGTTTAAGTTTTTATTTATTTTTATAGATAATTTAACTATAAGTAGTAAAAATAAAAAGGTTTTATGTTATGTTTGTTTTTGTTTTCGCATTCCACTTTCAGAACAATTAATCGCCCTAAAAATGGTCTGAATGGAATGAATCTTCTGAAACATTGTATAGAATTTTCCGTAAAAATCAATTGAGCTTTTAAAAGCCAAATGACTTTTAGAAATGAAAGCCAAATGGATTCTTCATTAATATCGACTTTGCAAGATCTTAATTATTGATAGAAACAATACAAAAGATTCGTAATGACGACCATCAAAAGGAAATGTTTTCGCCATACTTATTTGCAAATCATTTTACTAATCATATTTATAAATGCAAACGTTTGATTGGATGGATGTATGTTCCTACGTATCTCCAAAACAGCTTAATGAATATCAGTGAAAATTGGCACTGATTCCGAAAATGCGAACGAAGTTGCATGAAAAAGTTATGTAAAATATTTACAATACAAAGGTTTCACATCCGACAGCCTTTTCAAGACATATCAATATACATATGGCCTGTTAACAGCCATCATAAAAATAATTTTAGAACTATTTATGTAAGCTAACATAATTTTTACTTACTCTTTCTCTACACTATGTCAGTTTAAATTATAGACAAACTAGCTTTCGCTCGCGACTCCGCCCGCGCGGATTTAAAAAAATAAATGCATGTAGCCTATGTCTTCTTCCAGACTATTCTCTACATCTATGCGAAATTTCATCGAAATCCGTTCAGCTGTTTAGGCTACAAACTCTAACAAACATCCATCCATCCATCTAAAATTTTGCATTTATAATATTAGTAAGAAGTAAGAAGAAAGATTAGTAAGATGTATATCATTTCAAACAGCAATGTCCAACATTTGTAGAAAAATTCCCCCGAGAGGGCATTGAGTTTGCACGGCTGACATCCTCACTGTGCAAACAGTCAGCTGCGAACTGTTCATAGGAATGAGTTGTGAACAGAACGTGATACGAGAAAAAAGGTTATAGCTCTATAGCGGACGTTGTCCTGGCTCATACATCTCTGTTTTATCCTATTTCGTAATACTAAAGTGCAAAGTAACAGATTTTTTAAATATTTGAGTAGCTGATATATAATATTTATTTCAAGTTCAGGAGGATAACTCTTGATACTGAAAACGTAAAGCAACGTAAAGTAAACGTATTTGAAGTTGAAGCGTCCTTCTTGTCGTTTTGTCTGGTGGTTTACCACTTTTCTAACAGACTAGCTGTTCTCGTGTGGCTTCATCCGCATGAAATTATGAAAATTTTATTTTATTGTTTACATTTGTCAAATTAACAATAGCAAATATCCAAATGACATGACATGAAAAACCTTAGCAAACTTTCTTTCTTGATGTTGGCAGCAACTTATGTTCTCTTTCCCACTTTGGGGTTTTTATCCCTTATATTTACCCCTTAAGTTTATTGGCGTGAAAATAAATAGCCTAAAGCGTAACGTAAGTGTATGGTTTTTTATTAAAAAAAATAATTATTCAAAATATGTTGTAACTACTGACATCTTAGGCAACAAAGAAGTGTGTGTTTGTGCTTTAATATAATAGTATAGATGTAAAAAAAATTACGTCTAGGACAAACTTTTTAAAACAAATTCAACTGTTTACTGAAATACTAGAAGGTGCTATAACTTTTCATGTAATATTTTTATTGTTATATGGCCGATTAACTAAAGTTACCATTAAATTACGAGGTTTTAAATATGAATGTAATAAAAGAAAATGCAGAGATTAAAAGCTTTTATGAAACTTTTCGATATGAACTCATAAAATGAAACGCTAAATTAAAAGCTAGTTGTATTAAAAGTTAACGTCTATAACACCTCTTTAAGAACTGATTAAATTCTTGAGGTTAAGGAGCCGAGCTAATCTTAGTTGGTTACATATAAGTTAGAAGTTTTACTTAGTTTTACTCAGGTTTTTAATTAGTTTTACAACGAAAGAGTTCGTGGCGATAATCAGAATCTAAAGATTGTACAAATTCTCTTGCCTTCACATGACCAAAATCAACGTCTATATATCAAAAACATAATATTTAAGTAAAGAAATACTATATTTTTCCGATTTATATAACTTGTATCGCAAGGGATTAGGTTATTGTTACAATGTCAACAATTTTAGTGGAACAATCTTAGTCGTTTTCATATCTGTATGAAACCAACACAAATTACATCCCATCTATGAGCCTTTTCGCATGAACATTTTTATCATAAGTGAATAAATAAAAGTATTTTCATACAAAGTTCTTCGTTTCTGGAAAGCTTTCAGAAAATGATGTCTGGTACGCAATTTATTCATCAAATAAACAACCTTTGATATTTAAGATGTTGAATTATAAGTAATTGTGTAGCCAAAATGTAATATAAAAGAGACAGTGATGTCATATCAACAGCCTAATGACTCGATAGGCTTCGAAGCGAGCCCTGATTGTGCTGATAAAAATTTTCATTGCGTTTTAAACTAGGCGGGACGCAACCAAAGTCGTTCGCAACATCTGTTTGACAATTTACGCTTTTAATAATGGCTGGGAGTGCCTTTGAATCGGTCGCGCGCGAATTAACAGCGGGCTAAATTAAAGCCTTCAAAACTTTTTGCGGGACCGACCCTCCGATGTAGTCTGTTAGCTATTCGACCTTTTTAATTCCTGAGGGAATTGGAGGAAAAAAGCGCACTTGAAAATTAGTTCACGATGTGTGTTTGCGGTTGATTCAAAGTGGACTGCCAATTATTTATTTCGCGCATGGATTGTAGTGAATTACTTTGTTGAGAACATTATAATTCGTTAAGGGATTTCTCAAAATACAACATACGATGTTATGACTTCTAAATTTAATTAAAAAACATAGTTGGTACGTCTATTTGCGTTTGTTACTACCGGAATTTATAACCTTATATTTACGTATATTTGGTACTGAACCATACTATTACAACATAAAAGTAAAAATGTATTGCTTAATACGTAGATAATAATTTTTATGCATCTCCGCCGGTTATAATATAAAAGGATGTAGATAAAAGTAAATAACTTGGTTAAAATAACACCAAAAAATATTATTCCATTCTATACATTTCGTAAAGTAAAATAACATCGATAAAAGGAAGATTCCGAGTAGAGTTAAAACCTCTAAAAATTACGAAAATCCGAAAGGGGTTGTATTTACCCGAGGCCCCTTTATTTCGTTTCGCCTTAAAATTTATTGCCATTAAGTTCAGTGAACCGCGGCATCCGGAATACAAATTGCTTGCACCTAAGACTTTGTTATTTCCTTTATAATAGCTTCCAGCTATTGATAACGTTTTTTTTTTAATCTCTGCTGGTGACAATCAACATGCATTGGTTTGTCACAACAATTGACCCATTCACGTGGCATAAGAGGGACCTATAATTTATTGACGTCTGCAAATGATATACGATAGATAGCTGTCACCTAAGTGTAAGTCATTTATTTAAAAGTTTTTACTCTTGCATTTAGTTAGAAAATTTAGTAAACTATCAATCGATACGACGTACGATGATAACTGTAATCATCTATCAGTACTGTGGAATAAAATATTAATTCTTGCACAAGCTACGTTGAACAATAATTATAACTGATACCTCGAGGTAAATATCCTTGAGGCCTCGCTGAAGGCACCATGGCTCATAACTTATGCAAATATAAGAACGGGGTGGAACGCCAGACAACCGACTACCAGTCTGAACAACCATAAATTTACCATTAATGGAAAATTTTACCTTCTGTTCCTACAGACAATTTAAACTATCAAGAAAGTAATTACCTATTTAACGTTTATCTATATTTCAATGATAATACATAGATCGTTTTCTATTATTTTTCTCGTTTAAAACATACTTCATATTACAGAACAGAACTAAGTTAAGAAAAAGCGCCAACCGCATCCGAACACAATAAGCAATGTACGATACATACAAATGCATATCTCTCAAAACAAGCTTCTTCGTTTCCTTAACTCTAAAAATAAAACCCACAAAGTAACAAAGTTCTCACATATCCTTAATATTTTGTGAAAACACTTCTTTGAAACTTGAACCCATATTTGAAGTGAACTATACGCTGAAGAAATACTTCAAGTTGAACTTTCTGTTGAAACTTTTTAAAACAAGTCAGCTTTTCGCTTTAAACTAAATTTTAATATACGTTACATAAAGTGATGTAATACAAATTGTGTAGTAACCGTGGGTCTACTATATTATGAAGGTTTTTGTACATATATTTCTGGGACTTTCGGGTTATTTTGGAACCTGGAAAGATGTCAAAAAATCTTCGTTCGTTTTATTTCAAGAGTTGAAAGTTGTAGTCGTATAGTACGAAATTCTAATCTTTCTAATATTGAAATCTTTACTATTACCTTTTCAAGGAACATCGTGAACAAAGAACAAATTACGGCAATACTTGGACTTCACAATGAAACGGTTTCCTTCACGCACTTAGAGATTGAAGAAACCTGTAACCAGAATTCTCGGATAGATTACTTGTTATAATCAATACATTTTACAAGGGATGTTAACATATTGCCCGCAGACCGGACGGCCGATGGGGCTGAAAAGTCCTGGTGTGGCGGCCACGGATAGGTCGTCGCAGTGTAGGTAGGCCTCCCGCAAGATGGACCGATGACCTGATCAAGGTTGCGGGAGTGCACTGGATGCGGGCGGCACAGGACCGGTCATCGTGGCAAACGATGGGGGAGGCCTATATTCAGCAGTGAACGACCTAAGGCTGTTAATGATGATAACATATTGTTGTTAGTTTCATCATCATCAGCCTTTGGCTGCCCACTGTTTGCCTTCCCTAATACCTTGCAAACATCCTATGCCTTCCATATTGAAAATGTACAATTCAAGTTTTTAACACGCTTCATTCTAAACCGATAATATTCAAGACGGAATAGATTCGAGTACTTCAAATGCCCGTTAGTTTTTAGTTTCCCTGATCAATGTGGGTAGCGGGCACCGGCGAGTGTTACGTCTACAAACTTATTGACCATCCTTATTCATTCTAATGTAGACATAAATTGGCGACCGCCTCGTAGTTTTATTGAACTTGCACTAGTCGTCCATTTTATTATTAAAAGGTAAACTTCTTCAGGGTCTTTAGGGGTGTCGATATAACTATTACAATCAGACAGGTTTCGTGTCTGTTATCAACTATGTCTGTTCTGATACACATAGCAATTTGTAGATTTTTAATCAACGGCAGTAGATATTAAATCTAGAATTAAAAACGTAATACATTTTTGTTACCTTTATGATAAGCAATCATGATGATATCATAAAATATTATTTAATCACAAAAAAGAATTCCTTTTATATCAATAAAGTTAATGTACAACAGTTATTAATTTCATATTACATCGGAACTTGATGAAATATATTTATTGAGTTGTTCTCGGAATTCTATACAAAGTGTTCAGGTAGGTAGTAAACCAGAGGTATTTCAATTTAAACGTTAACTAGAAGCGATGCTCGGAGGAACGTCCGCTGTTCCGGACAAATCAACACGGGCACGTGCACACAAAGATAAACACGTCGAACACAACGTGTGTACTCAGCTGTAATGTGATATCGTCTTCACATTTAATTAAAAAAAAATTAAAAACGACTTGTTCCATTTTTAATAGTTATTGAGGCACAGACATGAGTTTTATCAGGAGTTTGTTCTATTGGTCGTCTGTCTTTGACACAACATGAAGAGGTGTGACTTGTATTCTTCTTCAGAGATTTAAGGGTATTAAAACCCTAGGATATTTCTTAGAACTTGACATTTTTGTGCTTTTTTAGTCTAATTTAATTAAAAACAAGCATTAAATTATGCTAAAAAGTTAAGTAATGAGAAAAGTTATTTCGAAGCTAATTTTTCAATTGCGATATAAATCAAAGGTTATTATAACTTTTAAATATAATTAAACACGAAGTTTGGATCGGCAACCCTACTAGCGCTGCTCGGGTCAGGGAACCGTTCAGCCCATCGAGCCCGGTCAAATATTAAAACGAGATCTGAATTTCAAATTTCAACAAACACAATCATTACAATAATGTATCAATCAATTAGAACTATGATCAATATATTATTAACATATGCTGAGTTTAGGGTCCGTCCGTTTCATTCACTTTCGATGCTAATGTACTTGGAAATTAAGATGAAATGTATTGGCATGAATAATGTATAGCTTTGGACGACTCCTTCATTATATTCTATCGGTTCCGTCTGCCAAATGATTGTATTCATTATTTGGTTAATGATAATGGACTGAAATAAATTAATTGAAACGTTCGTTATTACATTTCTGCATTGATTAACAAAAACGAAATAACAAAAAAAAATTATAAAGTAATGATATCTTAACTCCTTGTGTAATTTTTTTTTAATTATGGGGGTAATCCCCGCACTGTAGAGATCACTGTCATGTAATACAAACTTTACATATTTTTCGTAGAGCATAATATTTTTTTTAAATAGTAACGTCTTTAAAATATTATGTACGACGCGTGTTATTGGTTTGTTACCCCTGTCTTAGACTTTTGAATGAAACAAAGTAATTTCTATCTTCACTTTTTCAAAGTGAATGAGGAGAATCACACTATTTGCGGCTATTTCAGTTGAAACCAACGCGATTACTGTTTTCCATTGGAAATAAATATGTTACTTTTTGCGATAGAATAGCTGCACTGTCGCAGGGTTGACATTTTGTTTGCTATCTGTAATCTTAAAAGTTTGTTTTTGTATCGCCTTGGGGCAGAGCCAATACGGAACGTTTCTCTACTAGATTTTAATTATGTTCTTAGAAAGTTAGAATATACGATTACTGTTTTGAATTGAATTGTAAACGTAGAGTTAATAAGGTAATTATAATTATAAGAGATTTAGATAATCTGCACTAAGATATTTCTTAAGCAACACTTTAGAACTGTGAGTATATCGTTTCTTTACCTTTTTTAATCAGAATGAACATCTCTTACAAGTCGGGACAACATAATAAAAGAAAAGCGTATGTCTATTACGTGAATTGTTTACATTTTTTGTATATTTTGGCAGTATTAAATAACAGAGATTGTAAATATGGTGAAACACAAAACATGAATTCTGTTGACTTAAGGCCGATACACACAGTCGGTTGAGAGATCCGCAGTACGCCATACACGGACTGCTTGTAGTCACCGCTATGAATTGTAGCCGGGGTTACGCACACCCCGTGAACCTATCGGTACTGTCTAGTAGCTAGTAGATAGTAGCTGTACGTGTATGTTGGCCTTTAGACTTGGGATAAGGTTTAATTATGAATGATGGCACATTATAGAAAAATGTAAAAATTTATTAGGTTACATTTTTATGGCTACGATTGTTCATTTGTTTTGTTTGAATTTGGATAAAACTGTAACTTATATAATTCATATGTTACGAGAAGTTATATTATTATCGCTTTCCGATACGATAACTCCTCTTTATGCCGTCCAGTGGTCCATCCTCTTAGATTTGTTTATGAAAAGCATATCAAAAGTATAAAGAGATTATTGAAGTTGGCAACGCACCAAAATGGGTAGTAACCCCGAATTCTATTGGCAAGAAAAAATGCTGGCGCTATCTGGTTTTATTTAGGACATCCATTCATGGTGCTGACATAGTGTGGCGCAAACTTCAGTTATTGCCAGTTCGAGAGGCGGTTTTAATAAATTTGCAAATTTAAAATTGGCATTTAAGTTCAAATGAGATTTTTCCTTTTAAATATGCTCTGTAGTTATGCGCAAAAATACAAAGTCATACTGTCTTTGGTTGAAATTAAACGGAAATTATTAATAGGAAGTCATACTTCGTACTCTGTATACGAGAAAATTACCTTATATCCGCAAGTTGTTTGTTTGCGAGAAGCTCTTTGAAACATTGGTAATTACGGTTTTAGTATTGCTGTAGCCGAATGCTTTTGAAGTAAATCAACAGGCATCGAAGTACGCATGCGTGTCGCACGGACTTTTTCTATCACCACAAACTTTTCAGTTCTCGCGCTCTAACAGTGTCGAGTGGACCTCAATACACGAACTCCTTTCAAAGACTTTCGTAATATCGTCAGCACGTGACAAGTTATGTAGTTCGAAATGGATCACACAATATGCATCATTCTTCTAATATTATGCTCAAGTTCGTATATTTCTTTGGCTATTTTAAACTAATTACTTATGATAATATTCGCTTTTACTCGCGTGTTAAAACTTTTAGTCAGCAGTGCGCGTATGTAATTTCCTTGTCAACCTTCATTTAGAATTTTCTTTATAATAGTGACTTGCTTTTTATTAAAGTAACATATTTTGTGGGATATCCAAGCCACATAATTGACAATAATTATATTCTATGCGGGGTAATGTAGCACCCCTTATGTATAACTTAATTAAGGCTTTATTCAGAAATTGATATAAATATGAAAACATCTGGCTATAATATTGATTTCGTAAATTTCTGGTATTTTTAGTTGCTTAAAAATGTTTAATAATCCTTCGATTTTTATTATGCGATTCCAAACAGTAAAATAAACTGCGGTCATGTTATTTATGAAATAACAGTTTTATTATCCCACTAAATATGTTTTAAGGTATATGACGTCATAATATTCCATGTACATGAATATTTTTATTTGAAACGTAATCATCAGAATTCTAATATACTTTGAGCTTTGAGAGTTAAGAGACAGAAGCAAATAAGATAAAAGTGGACATATAGAGCAGCGGTAGTTCGATTATGCCGGTAACAAATAGTGCAATAAATAATAACCGCCTTTGCGATACCTTCGCTCCAATATTCGTAAAAGCGTCCAGTTGTCTAGGTGTCTGGCGTACCCTGCTTATAACGACTATGCATTATTCATATGCCATTTGCAAGATAACTTACCAAAACAATACTCTTAGTGATACATTTATTATCTTTTTATTACTTTCATGTTTTGTTTTATTTGTTTGAATAAAAAAACTTCATTTAAATCAGTTTTTAAATAAGATAATAATGTTTATTTTATAATAAGGAATATTATAAAAATGGGTTGTGTTAGAGGATATGCTCAAGAAGGGAACTAAATTACATATGACGCATGATAGAAATGTATGAAAGAGCCGTACATACTGTACCAATCCTATGTAGGGACAAGGAAAGGTTGATGATAATATGTTAGAGGCAAGAAACAATAATTATTCTGTTTATAAATGACTCGGGCACATTTTGTTTTCTTAACATCTTTGAAATTTACATTACTTTAGTTGCATATCATGACCAGAACAAGAACTATTATTATTTTTAAAATATAATAAAGTTATCCCTAGCTACACTTTTTGCATAAAAATAATACCTTTAATGAAACTCAAATGTAACTAAACTTCAGAAATTACGTAGTTAATGAGAGCAAAATATGAAGTTATTTAGTCCGTTATGTTTTAATATAAGCACATTTGAGTGTAAGCTTTCTCATTACAATTTCCCTAACACACCTTACGCAGTAACGGGCATTATGTACCGCTGGGTTTACCTTCACAATGCTAGAGCCGTTTCATTACGAACTTTAGTGTTACCATGTACGCTTTTAATATCTTATTATGTTCCTTGTATTCTATACACAGAGTAAAGATAACTTTTTTTATTAAAATATTCTTAGTTAAAATATGGCCGTACTGCCGGCCTGTTATATTGCTTTATAGATATTTGTACTTGTATATTTTAACAGTTTTCGCCCACGGCTCCGTTCGTGTGCACTTAAATAATAACAAAAGTAAGTAGTCTATGTTTTCTTCCAGACTACCTTCTACATATACGCCAATTGCGTCAGGATCATTCATCTAAACTTTCGAATTTATAATAAATATTAATAAGATATGTAGAGTTGTTACAATTTTATTAAAATCAAATTTTATAATCATAAAAGCAATAATAAAGTTCGTGGAATCTTCAATTAATAATTTTATATCCCTTTTTGTTATTAATGTGTATTGTATAAGTAGATAAATAAAATTAAACAATTTTATAAGTAAATAAAAACAACAAATTGTCTGGCCGTGGCGTGGAACATGTCACGGTAATATTATTACATTTTCCATTATCCAGAGCCATTGTTACGTTTATATTAGTTCTTTTTCAATTGCGAAACCTCTTGTTTGCTTCATACAATGAATTCCTAGAAATATAAGAAGCACTGAATAGCTTGTTTAATTCTTATATTTTAAAATTTCTCTACAGAATTTCGTTTACTTTGGGAAACAAGTGAAATATATAGAAATGAACCGTTCTCAAATATTGAAGGCGGTCGTAGATCCAACCCTTTCTTCACTTTTTATTCATTGAGCCAGTAAATAAATATACAAACTTTTGTTATGAAATAGAAAATTTAGCGAATGAGAAAATGTTTTTAAGAGTTTTTCTTCGTTATATTTTGTTGTATAAAACTTTAATAAATAGCCACCGCTAGTTTTAATTGCAATTGACCTACTGCTTGATGAGGAGTTAGAAATTTGTTTTTACTTATTTTTCATATTTATTGAATTCCTTTATACCTCAGTCTTTAATTATTAAAGTTTGCAGAAGAATTAACTTTTAAAAAATAAGCTAATTAAATTTTTATTTCGCTTATCTAAGAATTACCCTGATATTCAAGTTATTGTCGTGAATATTATAACTAATATTATTCACATTAAAGAAGCAACACAAATTGGAATATTATACTGGGGCTATATAGACTATTGTAAAATTTTCAAGTTTCCTTCACAATATGCTGGAGATGAATTCAAATAATTTTGCTGAAAACGTGAAACGTACATGTGTACTACATAGATATGTATATCTAGAGTATATTAAAAATGTAATGTGGTAATATAGACAATGTCAGTTTTTTTTAGTATTTTAACACTATTGCTTGTTTTAGAATGTGTTGGTGTAAACATCAGAAATATCATGGTGCCAGCTTTGGTGGAAGTTGGTACGCAATCAGTGGTACTTGACTGTCAGTACAGCATCGACGCTATGTCTCCAAAGGTCGGTTTGGTGATGAAGTGGTTTTTCAACGGATCTTCAGGGCTGGTGTATCAGTGGATACCGCCAATGCGACCGCAAGTTATCGGTCTTCTTAAGGGAAAAGTCGATATGAACTTTAAAATTTCAGGTAAGTTAAATTGCTTTTACTATTAAAGATATTAAAATTGTACATAAATAGTTTTTTTTTCTTATTTCAGATTGTATTATTATTTTAATATTCATTATTTTTATAGGTAAAGATCTTTTTACAAGTATGCGTACTAAATAATATATCAAAGACAATGATGATAAATAAATTTATTGTAACTAAGATTATTTATAAAATAGAAAGAAACTCTTTAAAATGTAAGCGTAAAAGATGTCTTCTAATTGTACAGCAATGCCCTACAACTGTCAACTAGAAACTGTCTTCTAAAGGATTTACTTTTCCGAACTTTTTACTCTGTTTGCAAACCAAGTTTGTTGGCTGCGGTTTTGCTGTATAGAAATTTAACGTTTTAATTGTAATTTGTTCATTGTTTAGTTTTAAAGTCAATACATGGTTAGGTAACATTTAATCGTATTATTAATAATAGCTGTTCCCCTGCGGCTTCATCCGCATGAAATTATGAAAATGTTATATTATTGTTTACGCTTGTCAAATTATCAATAGCAAATGTCGATGTTGGCAGCAACTTATGGTCTCTTTCCCACATTGGGTTTTTTATCCAAAATATTTACCCCCTGAGTTTAATGACGTGAAAATATATAGCCTAAAGCGTGACGTAAGTGTAGGACTAATTATTAAAAAAAGGATTATTCAAAAATATGCTGTAATTGCTGACATCTTATGCAACAAAGAAGTGTGTGTTTACGCTTTTTTATAATGGAATAGATATTCAACTGCACCTTATTACAACCTAAAAAACTCAAACCACCATTATTTTACAATGGTAATTAATTTATTATTTCATAATTTAAAAAAAAAAATATTAAAAAGTTACATATCGTAATGGCCGCGATATATGGATTTTAATGTTCGGCGTTCCATAATTTCGGCGTTGGATAAAGACCAATTATTTAATAAAATTTTAATGTAGATGTCGTAATATGATTAACTCAATGAGTTCTTTCATATAACAAATTCCTAAATATTTACTTCATATTTGTCCGAAATGTAACCTGTCCCTTTTTTGGCCTCATATGTAGACGCTATTGTTCAACATACAAAAGACTAAGCAGCACTAATATAATAAAATTTGCTTTATTTTGGACTGTCATTGCCAAGACCAAAGCAAGTTATTATCCTTTCATACATACGAAGGTTTTTTCAAAATGCTTGGCTTATTGAGTTTGATAAGATTAAGCAAAAAGCCTCTTAGTTCTTAGACGTATTTATTATTTACACAATATATACATTAAGATCTGATGTAAGATGTTGGCTTTGCTAATGGAACATTTTGCTTTAACAGATTTGTTTTAACGTGTGATGTTTACACAAAAACTAGTACCTAATATAAATAATGAACTTGTCTTTTAGTTGACTAGACTATATTAATATATGCATGCTGGTACTGCATTCTCATTTATCATATTGAACAATTAATCACTTTTCTCGTAACAAGTACACTTCAACGACACTTAATACTGACTATAAAATTTAATAAAGAAGATTTTTGCGTAGAAAAATTATCTAGTTTATCTAACATAATATGTTTTCGTATTTTCTTATTTATGACTACAACTAGCTTTCACCCGCGACTCCGTCCGCGTAGAATTAAAAAAAAACAAAAGTATGGCAAATTTCATTGAGATCGATTCAGACCTTTAGGCTACCAACACACATCCATCCATTTATCTAAACTCGCATCGCATTTATAACATTAGTTAGATTGGTTAGATCTTTTATCAAAATACGCATTGATTCTTAAGAAATTAAAATATAGTAAAAAAAATCTATTACAGTATTAAAAAGGCAGAATTTATGATACCATCGGAACACTGACATTCTCGCGTTAGTCAGAGGTTTTTTTAATCTAATGCACTTAACATGACTTTACGATAACGAAGTTAAATGGATTAAAGTGCATTCTTAAACTTAAAAGTGATCCGTTCTGTAAAGCTCGCTTTCAACGACCGATGTTCTTTTCTTATACCATTGCTAAAAGTTTTTGCACCATCTTAATATGTTAAAATAATCGAAACCTTATTGTAAAGTACTAAGTATTTCTTCTTAAATTAATAATGTTATTATTCATACCATCATTACCATTAAAATAACAGGTTTAAGCAATTTGTTGTACTCACACTAGAATCTTGAATTCAAATCATATAAAACTACAGTCTCACTTGAACTTGAATTATGGTAATTGTGAAATATGAGTGCTTGTCTATACTATTATAATAAAGCGTAAACACACACTTCTTTGTTGCCTAAGATGTCAGCAATTGCAACATATTTTTGAATAATTCTTTTTTTAATAAAAAACCCTACACTTACGCCACCCTTAAGGCTATATATTTTCACGCCATTAAACTTAGGGGATAAACATTTTGGATAAAAACCCTAATGTGGGAAAGAGACCATAAGTTGCTGCCAACATCAAGGAAGCAAGGTTGCCATGCTTTGTGATGACAACATTATGATGTCATGTCATTTTGACATTTGCAGTTGATAATTGGACAAACGTAAACAAAAAAATAATTTTTTTTACAATTTTATTCGGGTAAAGTCGCACGGGTACAAATAGTTACGTATATTTGTGAGAAATTCGTTACTCATCGACAAAATTTGTGCAACGAAAAGTGCAGACTAATGTCATACAAATTATGTCGATGACGTCACGATTCCGTTCTCGGAACTGTCACGTAAATATTCGTGATAGACCCTTTGAATATTCTTACTATTTCAAAATAACAATGTCAGCTTACAACTTGCAAGAGCTCAATTCAATATGTAAGTTTTTATGTTCCGTTTGTAAATAGTTTCTCCATTACAAAGGTTCGGTTGGTGGCGCAGTTTGCCAGCCTCTTGAGCCGTGCGACGGGCGCATGCCTTCCAGTTACGTCTGTACGAAGGGGAATTCTTAATTTAAAAGATTCAAAGATATGCGCTATGGAGCGTTACTTCGTCGAACAATGCATGCATGCACATTTATCTCAAATCTCTAAAGAATTGAAGTGAATTAAATACTTGTGGTGTTAAAAATTCTCTCTTTGTTCATTCATTCTCTGACAGATTAGCTTAATTGAGGAAATAAAATCACTCTAGAAGTAGCTAAGAAGTTAGCGTAGATGTAAACGACTTACTTAGTATTGGGTAATAATTTATTAGAAATAGTTTTAATAGAGAAAAACATTCATTTCTAATAAGACTTGGACCCTAATATCAATTGACCTTATGGTGTGATTTATAGTTTTTGTTATAATACAACGTAAGGAAAACAAATATTAGAGCAAAGCCTAAAATCACGAACGGTACCTACGGAGTGAATTTACCTGTTTTTACCGCGGCTTGCAATATGTTGCCACTATAAAATACTTTCCCAATATTTTAACATAAAAAACGTTACTTAAAAGTTTACTTTTAAAGAGAAACACTTTATATAGAGAAGGTCCTGCCTCCTGAAGCACAGTTGTAATAATTAGTTTAGGAGACAGAGCCCCAATGGATTTATAAAAATGTTTTTTTTGTCTAATAGAGAGTTTTTTTTTATAAAATCTCTCGATATTTTGTCGTAAAATGCTTTGGCTGACTTTTGTCAAACCTGAACACATTGAATTAATATTTTTTAATACAACAAAATGTGATTATTTTCAGATGATCCCCTTCAAGCGTACAGAGCAATAAAAATACGGAATCCGACGACAGATTTGAGCGGAAACTACACTTGCGTCGTCTCGACGTTCTTAGAGGAGGATCGGCAAACGAGGACAATGCTTGTATATAGTAAGATAACTAGAACAAACTGTTTCATAACATACAATACAATATAATACATCCTTTAAACTATTTACTTTAATATGAAAATAAAAAATACAACTCGTTGAATTTAATCTTAATAGATCTTTACATAAAAATCATTTGAATAAAGAATCGTTCAATACATTCACAGGTCCAGCACAAAATTTTCGTTTCGTCCAAGAAAAGAAGTATGTTTTTTTAGTCACCTTAATTTGTTCCGCTGAAAATATGTTTCCAAAACCTATAATTGCCATATTATCAAATGGGTAAGTTTCTAAATAACTAGTTATTTTTAATAGCTGAAACGTTTACGCTATCCGAACAATGGCTTTTTGATCACGTGCCGTGTAAGAAATTTATTTAAATTATCTCTAAGCATTTTAGATATTCTGAAAACTGACTAATCATGTTTCCTTCCATGCGATATTTCTACAGTGTACCATTAAAGCAAGCAGTGACAGAAATGAAGATGAACTCATGGGGTCTATACACGGTGACGTCGACAGCCGTGGTACATGACGATGACGTCACAAGACCTCTCGAGGAATTCGTATGCGAGCTGTCTTTGCCACCAGCTAATTACACGATCAATAGAACTTCGATATACTATCCGGGTTAGTATGAAGTGATAACTATAACTTTAGCTTACTTTAACTTGAATTATACTGTCTGTGATTCTGTTATGCAAATAAAATAATTAGTTACTTGAATAATAATGGCCCACAAATATTTTTTTATTACAAACTACTAGGAAATGTTTTAAAAATATTGTACAGCTATTAAATTTTTCCAGGGTTAATGCCAACCGCATATATCGCAACATTTGAGGTCAACAAACCACAAGAAAGATTATCAAATGGTATGTTTTCTAACACCTTCTTAGTTTTCAAGCATGAAAAGTTTTAAAACAATTTTAACGTGTCTATAAGTATGAAGTATCTAGTATCTAGTGTTAAATGTTTTTGTATAAATTTTAATACAAATTTTCATATCTGTTTTAGACTCAGGGGCAACGAACTCTACGAGCAATGGTTTTTCAATTATTTTCTTAACGATCGTTTTGATATTTAGATATTTAAGTAAATAATACATTTATAGTACATAAGCATTCTTACATAATGTAAATGAAATAAAACATTCTGTATAAAGTCTGGTGTAGAGTTTCGTTTAACATATAAATGTTTGATTTAACTGGATCCATATGTTATCTTTGTATTTCACATTCAGGAAAATTTCTATCGATATTTTTGTTAGCAATATATTCTTATAGTATATTTGATTTTCAATTTTACCAAATTTATTTAGTTCATATATCGTGAAATGAATAACAAAAAATCAAGAAACTGTGATATAATGATTATTCTAATTTTGTTATTTAATTTGTACATTGTCGCGTTTATAATTTAGTTGTGGCGCTTAGAAAATTATTATAATTAGTTATAACTTAAACAACGAAGTTGGTTGGTATGTCTATTAAATGTTTTGATAAAAATAATAAATTTTGTATGTTGAGGGATTGTTTCATTTTACCTTTACTTATTTGGGCTACCTGGTATAAATACAGAAAACAGGTTTTCTTAGTTCTGCCAATCTAATTAAACATTCACTTAGTATGCGATCAGACCTGCATTTCTCATTTTCTATGCGTCTTAAATTCAACAATAAGGGACCATACGTTATCCTCTTTTATTTTTTTTTAAATCCGTAAGTATTTATGTTCAAAAGATCAAACGAAGCATCAATTTGTTTAGTAAAAAGGAAGTAAGTGTGACGTATACTTCATATTCCCCTAAACAAATAACTTGCTTTAGAATTCTAGCTCTAGCATTTTCCTCAAATAAACCAACGGAGGTAATTCTATTTTATAAAAGATTTTTATCAAAAAAGCTTTCAGAAAACTCTAAATAGCGTATGCTTTATGATATGAGGACTCTAGAATTATACGTTAGAGTTAAGAGTAATGTACTCAGGGCTAGTAATTTATATAGGATAGAAAATACACGTTTTACCTGAGTAATTAGGCTCTTACGTCTTTGAGTTTTAAAATTTATACGTTTGGATCTCTTTTACAATTTGGCCAGGCGATTAGATGTTGGATAAGAATATAATTCATTCAATAAGGGCGGGCAAACACCTTTGACTAAACTATTGTGCGATTGTCGATTGTTTCGCAGCAAATTCAACAGTTTAGTTGCACAACTAAAAATCGAGTAGTGTGTGCGTCAAAATGCGACTAAAAAGTTGTGCGATAGTTAAGTTTCAGGTGTGCGATCGCTGTAATAGTTACCGTTTGTGGATTGTGGTTAAGATTATAAACAAAAATATAACACGGAAGTTACTATTTATTAGCCTGCATTCCGTTAACTGCTATAACATTCATGTTTAATGTAATGCACTTATTTTCTTTTCTGGAATCAAGCCAAATGATGTCACTTTCAATTGTTTTTCTTACTTTAGTCATTTAATTGATTTATTTCGGAATGACTGCATTTTCCGACCACATAGAAAGGTAAAAGACAGTATAAACGATTCCTAGAGATGCAACTTAAATTAAATACTTATACTTCGGTTCTTCAGCGTCTCTGTTTTTCGACAACACGCTAAGTAAAATAAGACAAGATGAACGCTATAGAATCTTACTTCGGAAATTCTGGGAATTTGAGAAATCTTATTTAACTTTACAATGGTAAGAAGGTCAAAAATAACCGAAACTCTAGCAACAATTCTAGAACATTTTGGTCCAATCTGCATCCTTTTTATAAGTATCTGGTAGTATGTAATGACGGCAGGTTTAAATACTGCGACCTTTACGAACTCACCACCGGTGACACCATAACTACATACCACCACAAGTAATATGTAGATTTTGTTTACATGTTGAAGTCTTCAAAACATATAAATGAATTTTAATTTTAGTATGTGACATTTTATTTGGACATTTGCCAATTGTGGTTAGCGTGAAAAAGCTGTGGGAAGAAATTTATAGTGTTTTATGTCTAAGTGAAAAATGTCGTGGAATTAAGTAGCATACATCTGGTGTAGTTTTTAAATCATTTTTATAGGACCAAGAACTTAGGTTTTCGTTAACTGTAATAAGACATGTTATTAAAACTGGACTTCATATTTTAATACAAATTCATATTTCGATAAAAAAATAAATATTAAAATACAAATCTAAAATTAGCCTTAGCAATAAACGATAAGGATAAAAGTCAAAACAAAAAATCTTTTCAGGAATCTGTAAGTATTTTCCTGTTAATGAAAAGTCAATATTTTTTTCGCTCAATGAGTCGCAAAATTACTTCGTATCCTTAGCGACATTATAATTGGAAATGTATAACAACAGTTCCTCGTTTTTCGATAAAATGGTTATTACAACTTCAAAAGACGAGGCCACAAAAGCTCAACAAAAGATTATACTTGTACAAATTTCTAAGAAAATATTGCTCGGGTAATTATTGTTTATGTAAAACATTAAAAAATCATAGATTAAAAAAACTGGAATTCGTAATGTGCAATCAACCTATTTTATTTATTGTTCATAATTTGCATTAAACGAGGTTCACCAGACACATGTTTTATGTGACGCAAATGTTAACCACAATAATATATTTATTACACGAGTGTAGAGTTTTTGTTACTGCAGTAAATGTAACAAAACATGAATCGAAATAACGTCGAAAATCATGTTAATTCCCACCTCAAGGTTCATATACATAACTTGATATCGTGTCTTAAACCTATGGGATTCTTCAACTGTGGATTCTCTTAAGGCTAGGCTGTATACGTATACACATTCGTATCCCTAGTATATTTTAATACCAAGGTCGATACATTAAACATTGTATACTATCAAAGAGATACTGGAGCGTGTACAGGAATATCTTCTATCACCTCATAGGAACACTTTATTATACAGTTTTAATAAACTAGAAGTTGTTGAAATGGTTAAAGATTTTGTCCAGAAAATATTAAATGGTGTGTAAGCATGTTAATATTTTATTATAAATACATATGTAAAAATCGTTGTATAATTTATGATCTACAATAAAAATGGGTTATTGAAATAGATGTTCCCTTTAGAAATTTTAAAATATACAAAAGATTGAAGCGTGGAAAAAGCTGTACGGTATAGCGCTATTGTATTTTTTTCGTTCGATTTCCTTTAGTCTCAGGTTCTATTAGAATTTCAATCGGATAGTGCACACAGGAACAACTTCGTTTATGAACGTCGGGGCATGATCAAGGATTACGCGATTAGGGAAAAACAATTTCGACGATATGCAAATCTCTGCACTTTTCAAAACAAGTAATAATCCGTACTAAATCGATAACCTACTCAGATAATTTCATTCGTTACAACTTCTATCTTACAAGATACTTAATAATGAAGGTTCAAATGAAATTAATATGAAATTAAAAACAAAAGAAAGTAGTCTATGTGTTCTTCAGACTATCCTCTACACCTATGCCAAATTTCGTCGGGATCTGTTCAGCCATTTAGGCTACAAACTCTAACAAACATCCATCCATCTATCCATTCAAACCTTCACATTTATAATATTAGTAAGATTTTTCTTTTGTTATCCTGCACGGGTTTATATCTAATGGGGTTTTATATTTCACCTCGCTTCTAACAGAAAGAATTCCCTTTCTTAATCAAAAACAGAATCTTCAAGGAAATCATTACCCTGAGTCAGTCAACAGCAATTCGGTCGTATCCTCATCCATTGAATAGTCAAATCATTTTTCCTGCAAGGACCCGTGAAATTACTCCGTCTCTTAGCGACAATGTAATTGGAAATACAGCATACAATAACAATTTATCCCTTGCGATTAAATAACCAATGCGGACAAAGAAATGTTACAGAAAACCCTAACGGTCGTATCATTTAAATAAAGAGGCACATTATTATGTTGATTTTTATGATTAGTGAACTACGAATGCAATTTTTTCTATTTTGAAACGTTTGGTATTAAAAGTCTCCACATCTGATATGGATAAAACTTAAATTGCTACCAAAAAACCCTAACGTATTAACAAAAACTAACATATGTATGCTTTGTGAACTTTATCTAGGCATTAAATATTTCTATTTCATTACCAAATTTAGATATAAGTAGAAATGGTTGTTAAAATAAGCGAAGATTGTACACAAACCGTCGGACGCCGCATTTAGAAAAAATCGTTCTACCCTTCTTTCAATGTAACCTCGAGCGGTTGTATTCATAGAAACTGACCTCATTTGCTATTAATCGCCAAAGGAAGTAATAATTAATATTTAAGAGTGTATCAGTTATGTTCCACTTTTATGTTATTAATTTTGTATACAGTAATTTTCTGAATACTATAACAATTTCAACTCTTTTCTTTAAAGTTCGTTTCTTTGTGAGGACACCACAAAGCCACAGCGCCTGTTACCTTAATATAGAACTAAATTATTATTTTAAGCAAGGACAAAAGGTATACCAATTAGATAATTATTTTAATTAAGCAGTCATCAAATATTTCTTTGGACGTAGACACACTCCAGTAGCGAGCGTCGGTGGCTCAGTGGTTTAAGCACTTGACCTGTAATCTACAGGTCTTGGGTTCGAATCCCGCCATGTACCAATGTGATTTTCGATTTTTCGAATTTTCATATGTACATAATTTAACCGATGTTCTTACGGCGAAGGAAAACATCGTGATGCAACCTACACATATCGGCGAAGAAATTCAAAGATATGTGTGAAGTCGACCAACCCGCACGTGGCCAGCGTGGTTGACTATGGCCTAGTCACCCTTACTTAGGGTAGGCTACGAGCCCCTCGGTGGGGACGTATAGTGAGCTGGTGATGAGACACACTCAGCACTTTTCGAGTGCCTGAACACTGACGTAATCTATACTAATATTATATAAAGAGGAAAGATTTGTATTTTTGTATGTATTGAAATAACTCTAAAACTACTAGGCCGATTTTAAAAATTATTTCACCGTTAGAAAGGTAATTTATCTGTGAGTAACATAGGCTATCTTTTTAATTTCACGCGGGCGAAGTCGCGAGCAACAGCTAGTATATAATAATTAACGTAATTTATTTATTAGCTAC